TACTACTACTACTACTACTACTAGGTCAGAGGCTGTTCGGTAGCCTGTGTGTTTTCGCATATGCAGTAAGCGAATGCCCGCGCAGCGACGACGACAACGATGACGGTGGCAACGCTTGCTTTTGAAGAACGGTGTTGCGAACCCATTTGTTGCCAATGGCTCCGCTGCTTGGGCCGCCTCGGGGGTCCTTCAAGAGCGCCCCAAACAGATGTTGTACAAGAACTATCTCAAAATCTGTCCAACATGCCGTGAGATGGGGTGCCAAACGAAGAACGAGGATGAGGGAGAGGATGAGGAGGAGCACGAGGAGTAGGAGGAAGTGGGAGGAATAGGGAGGAGAAGGAGGAGGACGAGGAGGAGGCGAATGAGGAGGCGGAATGATAGGAGAGGCTGGTGCAGCGTGACAGGGATGGCGAGGAGGAGGAGGAGGAGGGAGATGACATTGGAGAGAAGAAGCTCCCGTCTTTCCGACACCTCCGGAGCTCTCGCATGAATGCAGGCACATGGGACGATTACCTTTCAAGGTCGCACGTCCAGTTGTGAAAGGGAATGCTTGCACGGACATGTGAATAGGGAACATGGGACGGAAGGGTGCATTACAGCATCGTTCGTGCACATTGGGCTTACTCTGAACTTCCTGTTCCTCGTCTTCCTCCTCCTGATCGTCCTACGGGATGGTGCATTGCAGCATCGTTGATGCATCATGGCGTCACTCTGGATATCCTCCTCCTGCTCCTCATACGGTAGGGTGCATTACAGCATCATTGATGCACCCTGGCTTCACCATGCACCTCCACGTCTTCCTCCCCCCCATCCTCCTCCTCTTCCTCCTCCTCCTCCTCCTCCTCCTCCTCCTCCCTCCCTCCCTCATCCGCTCCCCCTCCTCCCCACAGCTTCCATCAACTTCGCCAGCCAAGGCTCCAAAACCATTGAAAAACCAACAAACCCAAAACAAACCCAATTAATCCCTGTGAGGGTCCCAAAAAATTCAAAAAACGCAATCTTTTCGCTACTTAGTCGGCCTGGGGCTTGGGGGGCTGGGAATCAAAGAACATTGGAAAACCATTGAAAATCAAAAAAATCAAAAAAAATTTCAATTAATCCATGTGAGGGTCCCAAAAAACTAAAAAAACTCAATCATTTCGCAACTTAGTCTGTCTGGGGCTGGCCGGCCACCCAAGCCGAGTAAGTTGTGAAAACATTGGGTTTTTTGAGTTTTTTGGGACCCTCACAGGATTAATTTGATGTTTTTGGATTTTTTTGGATTTTCAATGGTTTTCCAATGTTTTTGGATTCCCAGCCCCAGAGCCCCAGGCCGACTAAGTAGCGAAAAGATTGCGTTTTTTGAGTTTTTTGGGACCCTCACAGGGATTAATTGGGTTTGTTTTGGGTTTATTGGTTTTTCAATGGTTTTGGTGCTGTTATCTCCGACTGCTCCTCCTCCTCCTCCTCCTCATCATCATCATCATCATCATCATACTCCTCCTCATGGTTCAACGCACGTGTGAGGTTCACACACGCATGGCAGCGGAACAACACATACAACCAACAGCAAACATGCTACTACTACTACTACTACCACCACCACCACTACCACTACTACCACTACTACACTACTACCACTACTAAACTACTACTACTACTACTACTCACTACTACTACTACTACTACTACTACTACTACTACTACTAACTACTACTACTACTACTACTACTTACTACTACTACTACTACTACTACTACTACTACTACTACTACTACTACTACTACTACTACTACTACTACTACTACTACTAACTACTACTACTACCTAACCACCTCTACGACCACCACCACCACTACGACTACTACTACTACTACCTACTACTACCACTACTACTACTACTACTACTACTACTACTACTACTACTACTACTACTACTACTACTACTACTACTACTACTTACTACTACTACTACTACTACTACTACTATTAGTTGTACTACTGCTGCTACCGCTACTGCTACACTTACGACGATGAGGAGAAGGAGGACGGCGTCTACCGCTCCTACTAATGTTGCTTTCCTAGAGGCTCCAACTCCTAGGCAGGGTCGCGCTGTGACACTTTTTCTGCTTCGCAGTTGGGTGCTGTGTCTTGGTGTGTCGCATCATGCTCGCAGGGGTGCCAGTTGCGCACTCTTCCGCCCGCGCGTCCTGACCACAAACCCTGGTCACTGGCTACAGTGGTGCCCAAGCGCCGTGCCAAAGGCTGGCGCACGGCTTCTGTGCAGGCATCAGGGTGGGAGGATGCGGCACGGGAGAGTAGATGGAATGGAGGAGCGTGGAAGGGACGGAGCGGGCAAAGGAGCGGAGAGGAGGAGCTGAGCTCTGGCTAGAAAAAGGTTTTGCGTTGCCAGAGCAGCAAGCCAGGTGCCCAGCTCGCCGCCCCGAAACATATGATCTTCGCTTTGCGCTGCTTTCAGATTCTGCTTCATCTCCCGCTTCTCCTTCCCCTCCTTGGCCTTCCCCTCCTCCTCCTCCTCCTCCTCCTCCTCCTTCTCCTCCTCCTCCTCCTCCTCTCTCCTCCCTGCCAGGGCTGACGTTTTTGGACAGATGGGGCGGCGGGTGCCACCAACCCTCCGAAGCTCCTGCAGCTTCTGAAACTCCTCAGCGCCGGAAGCGTCGGGTAGCGCCCTTCGGAGCTTCTGAAGCTCACGAGGCCGCGGAGCGCCAGGAGCTTCAGGAGCGCCAGGGGCTTCAGGAGCGTTCGGGGCCTCCAGGGGCGCGACACCGCGCTGACCATCCGCGTTGGCGTGGTGTCGGGGCCTCCATGATGGGCCAATTTTCCACCACCACTACCATAGGTAGGACGGGGGAGGAGCATGGGGAAGTCGTCCTCCTCCTCCTCCTGCTCCTCCTGCTCCTCCTGCTCCTCCTGCTCCTCCTCCTTCTCCTTCTCCTCCTCCTCCTCCTCCTCCTCCTCCTCCTCCTCCTCCTCCTCCTCCTCCTCTCTCTCTCTCTCTTTCCTACCAATGGTAGTGGTGGTGGAAAATCGGTCCATTACTCCAGGAGCGCGAGACCACACTAGCCTTCCATGTTAGCGCGGTGTCGCGGCCTCCTGGGGTGCTACGCCACGATGACCCTCGAGGTAAGCGTGGCGTCAAGGGCCTCCTGGAACCCGCTGCCGTTCGGGAGCGCCGGGAGGTCTCCAGGTGACCCTGCAGTGATACACAGCGCCGGGGGCGCCAGGAGCGCAGGAGCGTCAGGAGCGTCAAGGGGCGCCAGGAGCGCCAGGAGCGTCGGGAACGTCCAGGAGCGTCAGGAGCGTCCAGGAGCGTCAGGGGCGTCGGGAGCGGCCAAGAGCGTCCAGAGCGTCAAGGGGCGTCCAGGAGCGTCAGGATCGTCAACGAGCATCCGGAGCGTCAGGGCCTGTGGGGGCCTGGCGCCACGCAAGCCGTCAACGTCAGCGCCGGGCGATGGCCTCCAGAGGCGCGACGTCACACGCCAGAGGCGCGACGCCACGCGTCCGCGCTGTCCTCCTCCTCCTCCTCCTCTTCCTCCACCTCCTCCTCCTCCTCCTCCTCCTCCTCCTCCTCCTCCTCCTCCGTCTCTTCACTCTCCTACCTATGTTAGTGGTGGTGGAAAAGCGGTGCATCACTCCAGGGGCGCGACGCCACGCAAGCCTTCCACGTGCGCGTGGTGACGGGGCGTCTGGGGGCGCGACGCCACAGTAGCCTTCTGGTAAGCGTGGCGTCAGGGCCTCCAGGGGCCCGCCGCCGTTCATGAGCGTCGGGAGGTCCCCACACAGCGCAGGGAGCGCAGAGGGCGCCGGGAGTGTCTGGAGCGTTTGGAGCGCCTGAGTCGTGGGGCGTCGCGAAAAACAGTCAAGACTGTGCAGTTAGCATGGTGACGGGGCGGGGTCGTGGCTTGTCGCGACGAGGTGTCGAAATTGGGCAGTCTGCATGGTGTCGGGGCGCCGTGCGGGAGGCGCGGCGAATGCGGGGCCGCGCTCGAGGGTTCTCGAAGCTGGCGGTGTCAGCATGGCGTGGTTTGGGTGAAGGCCAGCCGCGAGAAACTGTCGGGCCTGTGCAGTTAGCATGGGATCGGGGCGCCGCACGTGGGGCGCCGCGAGCACTGGGCCGCGCTCGAGGGCCCTCGGGGGGTGAGGGTCTTCACGACATTGTTGGGGTCGTGGCGCTCCGCGAACAGGTACCACCTTGTGCAGTTCATGGGGTCGGGGCGCGGCGCATCTGGACATGCCGAGCACATGGGCCGCGCTCGAGGGCCCTCGGACATGCTGGAGTCCGCGCGGCGTCGTTGGGGTCTGTGGCGCTCCGCGAACAGGTATCACATTGTGCAGTTAGCATGGGGTCGGGGCGCCGCGCATCTGGCGTGGCGAGCACTGGGCCGCGCTCGAGGGCCCGCGGCAATGGGGGAGTCCGCACGGCGTGGTTGGGGTCGTGGCGCTCCGCGAATAGGTGTCAAGTTGTGCACTTCGCATGGAATCGGGGCGCCGCGCGTCTAGGCGTGGCGAACACTGGGCCGCGCTCGAGGGCCATCGGAAATGGGGGCGCGTTTGCGTCGTCGTCGGGGTCGAGGGGCGTGCCGCGAGAAGCGGTCCAAGCTGTGCAGTTGGCATGGTGTCGGAGCACCGCGCGAGAGCCGAGGCGAAGACTGGACCGCGCGCGAATCGGTGCCTGGAGTGCGGTGTCGGTTTTGGGGGGCTCGTGGCACGCCGCGAAAAACTGTCGAGATTGTGGAGTCCGCGCGGTGTCGGGCGGGGTCGCTGCGCGCCGCGACAAGGTGTCGCAGCTGCAGTTGTGGCGCGGCGGGGTCGTGGCGCTTCGCGAAAAGGTGTTCGGTCTGGGCAGTGGGCATGTTGTCGGAGCGGTGTCGCGGCGCGTCGCGAAAAGGTGTCGAACGTATGCAGTTAGCACGGTGTCGGGGCGGCGTGGCGAACGCTGGGCCGCGTTCGGGGCCTTCGAGAATGGCAGAGTCTGCGCGGCGTCGCTGGGGTCGTGGCGCGGCTCGAATCGCTGTCAGAAGTGTGCAGTTAGCTTGGTGTTGGGACGGGGTGTGGCGCGTCGCGACTGTTGTCGGGGTGCTGTCGTGACACTCTGTGAAAAGAAGCCGCAATTTTGTTGTTCGCATGGCGATGCAGGAGCGACGTCGTGGCGCGTTGCGAAAGGGTGTCCAAACTGTGTGGGTAGCACGGTCTTGGAGCGCTGCACGCGCGTCGTCGCGAAAACTGGGCCGGTCTCGGGGGCCTCGAAAATGGCCGAGTCTGCGCGGCGTCGTCGGGGTCGTGGTGCCGTGCGAAAGCTGTCAAAACTGAAATATGAGCAAGCGTGGGCTCCGGCGCGCTACGTGGTGCAACCTACGTGGTGCAACCTAATAGGTGCAATTTTTGTGGCGCAACCTAGGTGGTGGAATTCATCTCTGTTCGCGTTGATTTGTTAACTCCTCTGCTCGCGCAACCTTCTCACCCGCCCGCCCGCAACTTGATTGGCAGGACACGCGCAGTGGCGATTGCGATGGGCGCTTGGCGTTGGCTGGTCCACCTCTGTGGCCGTGCCGACCCAAGCGCGCAGCGGCCAGCTAGTTTGGCGCGACCGACGCGGCCGCGTCGGCGCTGACCGCCGGGCGCATCCCAGCGGGCACTTCATTGCGAGTCGGCGATGTGGGCGGGCGCGGTATCATGGCAACGTCGTCAACGGTAGACGCGATGATGACAGTAGCCATGTTTGTGACGATGTAGACAATGGCGACGGCGCGGCCAGTGCGGGCGCCAATGCTGACCGCGCCGACGACGATGACGGCGCCCTCGCGTCGGTGATGAAGGCTTTGGAAAGAGTTCGACATGCGCGCGCGGCCGACGCGCGTGAGTGGCGTGCGTGGTTTTAGTTCGCGCGGATCGTGCCCCCCCAGCAAGGGCGCAAGGGCGCGCGGGGAATGTCGGCGTGCGGCGCGAGAGGCATAATCCCACCAGCCCTCTGGGCCCTGGTGGTTTAGAGCGTTTCCTCTTCCACCCCTCCTTCTTCCCCTTCGGGGAAGGGTTTACCCCTCCCCCTACCCCCTCCCCACTGACCTGGACAGGGGGGGCCGCGGGTAGTTAGAGCGTCCAAGACGGCCTAACACGGCTCCAAGAGGGCCTCAGGGAGCTCAAGATGACCTCCAAGATGGCTCAAGATAGCGCAAGATGCCTAAATATGGTCCCCATGATGTTCCAAGACGCGCCAAGAACTCCCCAAGACGGTTCCAAGTGCCCACAAGAGCATCATTAGGATGCATCCAAGAGGCCAAAATGCTTCAAAACCCTACGGGAAATCAATGTTTTTGGTGTTATCACTTTTTCGCTTGCGATGCACATCCGACGCGTCAAGATGGCTCCAAGATGGCTCAATATAGCTCCAAGAGGGGCCCAAGAGAGCCTCAGGATGGCTCCAAGAGCGGCCACGAGCGCTCCAAGAGCGATCCAAGAGGGGTCCAGGGAGCGATTTTCAATGGTTTTGGCCCCATTTTGGCCTTCTGAGGGGGCAGCGCTAATTAGAGCCCCCCTCTTCTTTGATCGATTTCCTCCACGATGGCCGCAAGAGGCCCCCATGATGCCCCAAGAGGCCGCAGGATGGCCCCAAGATGGCCCCAAGAGGCCCCCCAAGAGGCCCCCGGGAGGCCCCCAAGAGACCCCCAATAGGCCCCAAGAGACCCCCCAGAGGCACCCAAGGGGCAAAGATGGCCCCAAGAAGCGCCCCGGAGGCCCCCAAACGCCTCAAGATGGCCCCAAGAGGCCCCGAGAGGCCCCCAGGAGGCCCCAAAGAGGAGCCCGAACGGCCCACAGAGGCCCCCCCGAGGCACCCAATACGCCGAAAAGCCCTGCAGGACGACCCTCTACTCGCCTGGGCGTCGTTTCTGGACGGGCTGGTGGGGATGAGCGAAGCGTCTAGAATTCCATGACAATGTTGCGCTCGGTATTGACATTCTCACGAAACCGTTGGTTTTTGCAGGATTCCAGCGCGCGCGCTCGACGACGCGCGCGCATGCATTATTTTTTTGGGTTGCAGAGGATTCTCGCGGCGGCGCGCGCGCGAGGGCGCGCGGGCGATTTCTACGTGGCCGCGCGCGAAGCCCGTTTAGTAGCCTGTTCTGAATTTGTAGACATGCCGATGGATTTCAGTGGAATTCGCAAGACCGCGCGTTTTGGTCACTCGGTTTTGAAATCCTTACGCAACCGAAGTTTCTTGCAGGATTTCGGCATGCGCGCGCGACAACTTGCGCGTGTGTACTTCGTTCCATGTATTGCAAGGTTTTTTTTGGCAACTTCTGTTTTTTTTTTGAGCAGCGAGTGTGCGGGCGTAACTTTTTTTGCAGAGTTTGGCGGTGTGAATTCATATTCAGGATGGACGATGGGCCGAATCATGCGTACACTGCAATGCGAAGAGGGGAACGGATAATCCAGGGCGGGAGGGGGTCGAGTTTTCTTTAAGACACGAGAGTCCAAGTGGTGCAATCCACCAATGCTCAA